CGCACTGAAGGCTCCCAAGTTCAATTCCAGTCAAGGGCATGTATCTTGATTGCGGGCACATCCCCAGTAGGGAGTGTGCAGGAAGCAGCTGAATCGATGTTTCTCTCTCATCGATGTTTCTAACTCTCTATTCCTCTCCTTCTCCCTTCCTCTCTGTAAAAAATCAATAAAAATATATTTTAAAAAAATAAAATAAAAAGGCTTTGCAGAGGATAGTAGCACAACAATATGTACAACCTTTTCCTCTCCCAAACACCTATCACCCAAATCAAACCATATTGGTTAAAATTCCTTAATAGAAATTAATACTTATGGCAGAAGCATAGTTTATTTGGTTCTCAAATGTTACTTCTCATTTGTCTACAGTTCTTCCTTAAACTTAACTTCAATGACATTCGTTTCTACCCAAAATTAGCCACTCATCAGAGTGACCACAAATTGTAGGTTCATTACAAATTCATGTTATCTACCTGGAGCTGGGTCCCAACTGCTGCTCTGCACTTTTTTATGCACATCTACTCCTTACTATAAACTATCTTTCCTCTTTTCAAGCCCACAAGTCTCTCGGTAAGATTGTACTTCAATTTTGTATTTAAAATTCTGTAACAGGATGAGAAGAAATAAACGAAAGAACTTATATACTTATATGCAGGACACAGGCAATAGGGTAGTGAACTTGGAGGAGGCAGTAGAGGCTGAGAGGAGAGGCTAAAGTGAGGGAAAATGGGAGATATTTGTAATACTGTCAACAATAAAAATATACTTTAAAAAATTCTATAACAAAATACTCATTCCCCCCAAATCAGCTTTTTCCTTGTCATCCCTACCATAATCACTAAAAACCAAAGCATGGACTTTGGAAACAAGGAAGATCTAAATCTGGGTCCTGACCTTGTCACTTAATGGCTATGTAATTTGGGCAATTGTTCAAAGACTGCGACTATTTTTTTTTCTCTACATCTTGGAAAGTAATCCCAGTTGTGCAGAGTTGTCATCAGGATTAAGTGACTTATTTGATGTACACACCCTCTCCTCCCCTAACTAGTTCTCAAGATCTAGACAACCAAATCCTACTGATACTTTTGTAGACCCATAAAAAAAACACACACCTCATTGTCACCATCTTAGACTGGGCTCTCATTACCTCAGCAAAGGTACTATAGCAACCACTAATTGTTATTGGCCCTAGTCCATCCCACACACTGGTCTTATATTAACCTTTCTAAAACAGAACTCAAACTTTCAAAGGCTGGCTGTAGTCACCTGAATGAAACCCACACTCTTATACCTGCCAGTTTACATAATTTGGCCCATCTACCTTTGCAGCCTTATCTCACACTACTTCCCTCCCATACCCAGGTAGCTCTTTCTCTCATACCTTTCATGATGCAACCACTAGCCAAGATACCCGCTCTTCTTGGGACCTGTCTTCATCTCACCAGTTCCTTGAGGTTTACATTTCTTCACAGGATTCCATCAGTGGAAATTCTTTCTGCCACCTCTGAACATCTAAGTACTTACTGCTCCCCTTCTGGAACTCACCATTCGGAGTTTTAGTTATTTCCATACATACCTAGTGTTTGTGGCTACACGACAAGTTTCTCTTTAGTTCAAACATACATTTCACACTCAAGCCTGTATTTTTAGTTAATCCCAAAAGCATTAAAAATATCACACTACTGCAACTTGGAAAGGTAACACCTTAATACTAAAAGAACGTATGCCTAGAAAACATGGACTTATTAAAAGACCCAACTCCTATCAATATGAATTCACTTGTTTGATGTGAAAATATCTTACTGGCCTCTGTTCAGAAACTAAGAAGCTGGTGAAAAGCGTATTTGTTTGTAAGGCTCATGAACTAAGGGAAGCAGTACCTCCTGTAACAGTGATGGCGAACCTTTTGAGCTCGGCGTGTCAGCATTTTGAAAAACCCTAACTTAACTCTGGTGCTGTGTCACATATAGAAATTTTTTGATATTTGCAACCATAGTAAAACAAAGAATTGTATCTTTGATATTTATATATTTAAATGCCATTTAACAAAGAAAAATCAACCAAAAAAATGAGTTCACGTGTCACCTCTGACACGCGTGTCATAGGTTCGCCATCAGTCCTATAAGATGGTGCACAATAAACATTTCTGCTGTCAGAGTCGATGTATTCCAGTGAGGTACTTTCAATGTCAGAAACTTGTTACTGAAAATGAAAGTATAGTAGAGAGATATACTCCAGGATATTGACCATTTAATATGTCCTTTGCCTTCTAGGTAAAGTAGGCTGTGGTTATACTTCATTATACTTTCTAAAGTCTATTTTGCTCAGCAACATGGAAGTCAGGCAGCCACAGCCCAGGTATTTCCTTTCCACTTTTAGATTTCCTCAGGGAGGGACACCTCTTACAAGAGTACCTGCTCCAGAATCAGTTTCAGGCCTCTTCAGCCAACCACCAAAACAGTATTAAGAACAGTTGTTTTAAAATACAAGTTGATTTTATTTAAATCAACTTGGAACAGAGAACTAGTTAATTTACATGTTTTCCTAGGCTTAAAAAATGTGGTATGATTTATACTACATATGTTGTTATAGTACTTTAATTGTAGTAAAATACATTTGCCATTTTAACCATTTTAAAGTGCGCCAATTCAGTGGCATTTAGTACATTCACGACATTGTGTAACCATTACCGCTATCTAGTTCCAAAATACTTTTATTACCCCAAAAGGAACCTCCATACCCATAAGCAGTCACTCCCTATTCTTCGCGTCTCCCCTGCCCGGGAGTCTGCTTTGTCTTTATGGATTTGCCTATTCTGGATTATTTCATTTATATGAAATATAGTGTGCAGCCTTTTGTCTGGCTTTTTTCACTTACTCAGGTTTTCAAGATTCATTCATGTTGTAGCATGTATCAGTACTCCATTTATTTTTATGGCTGAACAATATTCCACTACATGGATATACATTTTGCTTATCCATTGACCAGCTGATGGACAATTGGTTTTTCTACCTTTTAGTTATTGTGAATAGTGCTGCTATGAACATTTGAACACAAGTTTTTGTTTGAACACTTGTTTTTAAATCTTTTGGGTATTTACTAAGGTGTGGAATTGCTTGATCATATAATAATTTTAATTTACATTGGGGTTGAAATATTGGGTAATACTATTCAAAAAATAGTGAAGGCTCCAGGAATGTTATAGACTAGATGATTAACCAAAAAGTGGTAGTAGTTCTAGCTCTAGCTCTTTGTGGACTCATTTCACAGTATAGAAAGTGGGGAGGATACATTAAGTTAGTGATTCTCTAAGTGTGCACAAAAATTACCTGGAAAACCTAAAAAATGCAGACAGCTGAGTCTCATGGCCCTAGATTCCAATTCAGTAGGTCCAGAACCTAGGGAATTGTATTTTAAACAGACATTGTAGGTGATTTTGATGGAGGTGGTCTTTCCACAGCACTCTGAGAAACCCTAGTAATTGATGACTCAATTGAAATTAAATTAGGCAGAAGGCATTAAAGGAGTAAAATGTAGGTTTAGTAACTGTCATCCTAACCTTCGTGAAAACCCTGAAACTGAGGATAGGGGAAAACTCAGTCTTTCTATAGTAGCACTATTTTCTTCCTTTTAATAGGAAAAATTTGACCAAGAAGCAATATGTGCTACTAGTGGCCCGGTGCATGAAATATGTGCAGGGTGTGTGTACGCGTGTGTCCCTCAGTCCAGCCTGCACCCTCTCCAATCTGGGACATCCCTCTTGCAATCTGGGACTGCTGGCTCCTAACCACTCGCCTGC